GAGGAACTCGATTGCCTCCGACGAGGACACGTTCAGGTGAGCGGCGGTAATGCTATTTAGACAGAGGCTAACAATCACTAAAAAAAATTATGAAATCCTTTCAATGAAATTTATTATAGAAGTTATGATTTTTCAGTGGAAAAATCGTAGTCTCTGAATGTGACGTCATTCAACCCCGACTCGACGCCAAAAGCGAAGAGTACACTTTTATCCGATTCCATCCGACGTTTATTCCAATTTATGGTAAAGTTTAATAATTTGGCAGAAGTTTAGTACAGTTTTGGAAAAATAAAGTAATTTTGAAGCGTTACTAGTTTGTTGTAAGGCCGGGTCGTGGTGGTGTTGCAGGTGCTTCGTGTACAAGGGGCAGCACGGCGAGCGCAGCATGACGTACAATATCGCGCAGTCCGGCGACGCCACCTGCAACGGCCTCTCCTCGCCCACCGACGGCAGCCGCATCATGAAGCTCACCACCAGTGCGTTGCACACGCTACTACCCACTACTGCACACTACTGTACACTACTGTACACTATTGCACACTACTGCACACTATTGCACAACACTGCACACTACTGCACAACACTACACACTACTGCACAACACTGCACACTACTGTACACTACTGTACACTATTGCACACTACTACACACTATTGCACAACACTGCACACTACTGCACAACACTACACACTACTGCACAACACTGCACACTACTGCACAACACTGCACACTACTGCACAACACTGCACACTACTGCACAACACTGCACACTACTGCACAACACTGCACACTACTGTACACTATTGCTCACTACTGCACACTATTGCACAACACTGCACACTACTGCACAACACTACACACTACTGCACAACACTGCACACTACTGCAAACCACTGCACACTACTGCACAACACTGCACACTACTGTACACTACTGTACACTATTGCACACTACTGCATACTTTCACATCACAAACACTTAACATACATTAATGATGTCCGAATGTTAATTGAAATCGATGAAATCTGAACGAGTGTAACCGATGTGCAAAATGCGAAATTTTTTTGTGCGGTGTTCACATCGTAAAGAGATATAAAAAATACTGAGTGTTGGAGTATGCGGGGTGTTGCAGGCGACGACGAGCACAACCGCTGCCACTTCCCCGCCTGGATCGTTGAG